ACGAAGTATTACATATCAATATTTAAGTATTGAAATCAATTATAAGGTAGGATTTGTAACATTAAATATTGAAATACTTGAGTACTAAAAGCTGTATTTGAATCACAGAATATTACTAAATACTGTACTTTTAATATTGAAAATAAGTAATTAATCAATGATTCTTAGTATGATATTTCTATAAGGGTAGTGTGTCAACAAGCTCTTCGAACGCTATCGTTATTAGCGCACCGCGTTCGGATAGCACACTAACGCTATCACGCTATTGACTCCCCGAATGATGTTTATAGCGTTAGCGTCTCGTAGAGCGACAGCGAACTATCCGAACGCAGCCAAAGTCTCCAATATAACAATTTGATCACTGGGTAAACAATAAAGTGTTATAATGATTAACATTATTTATCTGTTTCCTTGGCTAATTGATAATGCTTCTCTTTCCTCTGCTTCCCAACCTTTGTTTTCTTCCCCATCTTCCCTTATAGAAATATCATATTAAGAATCATTGATAATTACTTATTTTCAGTATTAAAAATACTGGATAATAAATAATTATTAATGATTCTTAGTATGATATTTTTATAAGAGTTAATTAAGAACTAAATTGTAAATTTTCTAGGTAAATATATACACGTGTAAATTGCGTGCCATTCATCACGCAAACAAGTTAGAATTATAAGTCTTATGCTCTATGCACAATGCCAGACAACAGGAGGTTTCTTCTCAACTGAATCAGTGCTGCATTTAAACTGCACTGGTTCGGAACTGGTACTGGGTTTTTACCTGTAGCAATCGAATTTTCATTCGGAATTATATAATCGCAGTGATGTAAATTGTCTAGAGAGAAAGTTCCCTAGGCTAATCGGATTACCAAATCGTGTCTGTGAGGGATGGATCGGATTAGCGGATGCAGAGGAATGTTGTGTACATACTTGCGTCTCTTAAGAAATAAATATTACCCAGTGAAAAATGACTTATCGATAGACGTCGAAAAAACGTCGAATTGACATCGATTTGATGATTTCGACGTCGATTCGACGTCTTTTCGACGTCTATCGATAAATCATTTCTTACTGGGTAAAGGTGCCAATACATGGGAGCGTTCCAGCGTCGAGCGTTAAAGCGTTAGCCAATCAACGTATCAGGTCCTAGAAGTATACTTATAGTTCTTGCGGAAAGTGGCACGTTGATTGGCTACCGCTTTAACGCTCGACGCTCGATGCTCCCATGTAAAGATACCTTTAGAAATAAATAGAAAAGTAAGTATGTACATTGTTATTTTCATTATAATCAACGTGTATTCTTCTGCTGATATATATAGATAAATAAATAAAGATTTATAAAGATAAATAAAGATTTATTTCTATTTTACTGATATGTGTGTATTAAAGAAATAAAAACATATCAAAAACGTTTCTTAAACGACACGTGTTACTTGGGACTCCAGTAAACATAAAGTAACAGTAACATAACATCAATGTTATAATTTCCTACTCAACAATGTAACTGTTATATAACACGCACGTTATATAACCATTGTCACAAGTTATCACAAGTTATCACAAGTTGTTAAACCTAACCGCCGTTACATTAAGACGTGTTTAAACACGTTCGAACCTGATATTTTTTTGGAATTCATACATTGAATGAAAAGATAATAGAGAAAAGTTTTGGACCTTTCGCTTTTCCGCTTTTTCAACGTACGGGAAGAAATGATTCAATTCGCGGAACGCGGAAATCTAGTAAGATTTTGTCTTCCGCGTTTCCACGTTTCCGTGCTTCATGTAAAGCCCGTATCAGACTACCGACTTCACAGGCCGACCCGACAGCGCCGATTCGACGCCTCACTGTGATTGGTCCATTGAGAGTCGGCAGTCGTAGTCGGCTGTCGGGTCGGCCTGTGTAGTCGGTAGTCTGATACGGGCTTAATGGGACCCTGATAGCTCCTGCACACAGGACGCGGTAATGTATGCCGCGCGGCGGAAGTTAGCGCGACAGCCAATCAATATGCTGCTTTCCGTAATAACCTTCTAGCTCTTACGGAAAAACAACATATTGATTGGCTGTCGCGCGGACTTTCGCCGCGTGGCAAGCATTACTGCGTTCTGTGTGCAGGAGCCATGACGCTCTATGCACAATCCTAGTAATTCTATTCTGTAACTCGTTATTGGAGTTAACAATAGTTTCATTATCGTTGTGCAGCTTTTGTATAAAGCTTTTGTAGAAAAGTTGTGCAACGATAACGAAACTGTTAACTCTAATAACGAATCCCAGCACAGGTAGTAGGCAATAAGAATAGGCATTAGCCAATAGGAACAGGGAATAAAAATAATTGACCAATCCGAATTCCTATTACCTGTTCCTATTGCCTGTCACCTGACATTCTGCAAGGGTCTTTAGGAACACACTATATACAGGGTAACCCAACATCGATTCATTTCGTAGTAATGTTGTAATTCACCGGCTTAGCCTCTGCTATGTGACCACTGTACATACATATGTACATACATACATACTATACGTACATACATCATGTATGATTTTAAATGATGTCGATAAACCATAAAGTTTTTGTTTTGAATCATGATTTGTACATCCTGTGATATTGTTCCCTATAGATTCAAAAAATTATACTTATCGACATGGATGAAACATACAAGAAATTATCTTCTAATACACTAAGGTAAGAGTTGACAACTTGGCAATTTATCTTTGTGTAACAGCTTGCTGTGAACATGATTTATCAATGACATAAGCATTTAATATTTGTCGTCAAAATTATACTTTCTGTGGGCAAATATAAATTGATACACTGTTCAATAGGGCAGAAGAATTGTTGCGTAGTAAAGGCATTAGAACTACTATACTGGAGGAATGGGAGAAATCACTTCTAGTTCTGCCAAAAAGTGGAAAGAAACATTTTGAACCTAATAACTCGTGGCTCGAAAATGTTCAAATTGAGAAAGGACTTAAAACACGTAAAGACTTGTTGAATATTGAGAGGGTTGAACGTGTTTCAGAATTAGCTAGTGCCGAGTGGATTCCAGCTCAGAAGAAAGCTCTTGTTACTAAAAAATCTGGCCAAGATTGGTCCAGTTTTGGCACAGATAAAAATGGTTCCTTATATTTGATACCAGAAGAGGCATTATTTCTTCTAGAAACTGTATGTATTATAAAGTTTAATTCTTCTAGAACTGACATCAAATTATTCAAATTCAATTTTAATTATATATAATATTTTAGATATGTTGCTTTTTCTCTTATTTTATATACATAATTTTTATTTTATTTTTCTGTTATTATAGTGAATTTTGTGCATATTTTTATTTTTATGTATAATTTTATCTCTTACAGAAAGTAAGATTTTATAGAAAAAGTCAAGTCTGAAATGATCATATAATTATTATAATTTAAACTTTGTTATAAACTTTAATATTATTTATGAAGTATTCAAATATATTCTTTTCTTACAGAATTGTCTTGAACTCATTTGGAATGGTGTGCCATGTTCAGTGCAACAAGCATATGAGATTTTGATTGATGATACATCATGTACTTTAGATGAATATAGAGTTTATAGTCAGTTAACACGCTGTGGTTACCGTATACAGCGTTATGTTTATGAAGAATCAGATAAATGTGGCAGATCAGATGAATCTGTTAAAAGGAAAGTTATTGTTGATCCTGAGAATGGACTAAGAATGTATGACAGTCAAACTCAGAATCAACAAATTTCAGAGAAATCTAAAGAAACATTGACGAAAGATGCATCACAGTCATTAGATACATCTGTCATTAATTCTAATACAAAAGACTGCCAAGATACTGTAGCAGAGAAACCTGTTGAGCAAATAATACGTGATGTAATAGACCACATTCTTTGCAATATAGAAGATAAAAAAAGTGTAAATAATTCAACTGGTTTACAATTAATGGAGAGCAATAAGAAAGAAAAAAGTGACATGAATGGTGAGGAGAAAAGCCGAAATTCAAAACTGGAAATCATTTCCGACGAAACTTTGGTAGGCAGTATTAAAATTTTGAGTGATACATCTTGTAGTCCAAAGAAAGAAGTCACAGCATCAAGCAAATGGCCGGGTACTCGCATTCAGCGTAACGTCAAATTAATGCCCAAGAGGAACGACAAAATATCTAATGCTGATGTTTCTGTAATCGATTCCAATTGCACGAATGAAAGGTCCAGAAACTGTGGCAAGTGGAAGATGGCCGGGACAACTAACGAATCATCATATACAAAAAAGGCGAAACACGAGGTAGTACATTCCCGAAAACATACGACACGTTACAAATTATTCATAAGATAATCTTTCTCTTTCTTTTCACGATCAGGTAATTGAGTTGTCAGACGACGAGATTCAGGAATTACCGCGCACTATGACAAGAATGGAAATGTTGAATTTGCTGCCGAATATCGCCTCCAAATCGGACATCACGGAGAAGATTTTCAAACGGTACATACCGTTCAACGTGAGGCCCCGCAAGAGCGCCTATCAGTACAATCTAACGAAGATATCGCGCATGCAGGAGAACGACAGGCGAACACGACAGAATTGCAAGGGTGTCGGCAACAGCTCGAATCAGTATAGGTCATACCACAGCAACTACAGCCCGAACAGGAGTCCCAGAGCTATTGCTGGTAGCGCCAGAAACGCCACTTATCAAAATCCAAACACGCGTTTGTCTCTATATGGCCCGCCGCGGCCATTTTACGCATTAGACCATTATATGCCCATACCAAAAGCCGGCTTTCCGTGCACATATAACAGATTGCCGCCGTACTGTTACAATTCAAACGCGTACGCTCTTCAGAACAGGATGACGCTGATGCAGCATAACGTGTTTCAAAATATGCTCGTCGCTTTCGAGAATCACGGAAACGCAGTTCAGCAGACCAGAAGCCTCACCATACAAATGAACAACTTCGCGATGCCGTACATGGGATATGGGATGTTCCGGACGAGGCATCCCTTCATGGAGAACCAGTGCCGGCAATCCTACTATCAGAACTTCTCCTGGCAGCAGAGATTTTGGCAGCGACGTCCAGATAACGCCCAGACAATGCAAGACAATGCGCATTCTATCGCGAATCGCCGATACGAGGACGCGAGAAAGAGCAATGCTGAGATCGTAAATCGGCCGTCTTTCACGACGCGTCCAGGAGTCAGCTCGTGGACAGAGTTAAAGAAGAAATGGTACGAAGAAAAGACTATCACAATCGATGACGAGGATAATAAAAATATAAACGAAAGCGGCGAGGAGGTGCAAGTTGTTGAGCAACTCATCAATCCGTTGGTCGGACCCAGATACGCAACGTCACTCGCTGAGGTCTACAGTAAGCTCTCTATAATCAAATCAGCGCCGGAGAAGACAGTCAGGAAGAAGAAGAGCAGATACAAGATATCGTACAATGTGTACTCATGCTCTTCTCATCACTATAAGAAGTCGAATCCCGGCCAAGCATTGTACAGCGTGGTAGTGATAAGGTACAATTTGTTGATAAAGCGAGTGCGCTTCAAAGCTTCTGGCCCTCGTCATGAAATTCTCGATAGTCTAGACATCAGAGGCGAGAAAATATATGATAAAAATTCTTACAAAATTAGTTGCAACAACAAGATATAACTGTAAAATTACATTTGCAGTCGATCAGGCACATCTGTAAAATAATCTGCTTTCTTTTAGTTTTAACGGTCAATAAATTATCGTAAAATAATCGTAAATTAACGTGACCCACTACCTATGTATTTTTAACCTATATTTCTTCACGTTGATTTTTTATCACGTTGATTTTAGTTATTTGTTAATTGTTAAAGTGAAAGGAACGTTTGGAATATCTTAGAGGTGTGCTTAATCGATTGTGTCATGTTTGCATATAACTTTTATTTTGATATACTTTATCACATTGTAGAAATTTTGCGCATACATTTCTTGATTTCTAACATCATAAAGATGATCACAACGAGGAACCAGAAGCCTTAATGTTAACATTCATACTAATATTTTGATTATATTGCAGGAAAGAGAACTCATTTCTCCAACCTGTCGAGTTGAATCGTTTGCAACAAGACGCAAAAGGTTCTCAGATAATACTGGCTTGTGTCTCGACGTCGATATCGTACATTCAACCAGGTATTATAACGATGCCAAACGTCTAATCTAATTCAGAGAACAGTGTATCAGCTGCAAGCCTATTTTTTTTTTCTAAAAACAGCTGGTCATAAACCCCCTACTGTGTAATACGCTTTCTCGTTGTTGTATAGTCCTTAAAATGTAAATTAAATGTTTGATTTTATATTACAATAAAATAACATTATTTCTACTGCAATTATATATACTGAATGATATATATCAAAAATAGTACCGCGTTTTACTCGTAGGTTAAGTTTGAACAAAATTCTTTTGTTATTAATTAAAATACAAAAAAATATTTTATAAACAAGTGTTACATTTATTAGACATCGTGTTACTGCAGAATTCATCAATATGTGTGTATATCTCAGAATGCATAAAAGAATTAAACACAAGACTGGAAGGTAAATGATAAGTTGCTTAGTATTAATAAAAATTAATAAGAAAACATCTACTCTATATTTTTAAGCAACATGAAAAGCACGAAGATTTTGATAATTATATATATCGAAAATAGAAAATTAGAAAAGAGCAAGAGGATAAAGTAGAAGAGAAGGGAAAGAAAATAAAACTGGTGCGTGTGGTGTAAAGGGCGATACAGTAGAAAATATTGATATTTTGTATCGATACATTAAAAATATCAAATGAAATGTATCGATATTGTTGGCTGCTATATATATATATTCCAATTAAATAAATAAATAAATAAATAAATATATATATATATATATATATATATATATATATATATATATTTATATTCTTATTATATCTATACTCATTTATACATATTTATTTTACATAACACATATATTTATTTCACATTGAAATAATGTACTTATATATAGTTATTTTATAAAAAAAAAAGTTACATTTATTGTACATTAAACATACTTATGGGTGCGTCCGAAATGTTCAGGTTTGGGTCAAGTTGAGTTAGTTCCACTATAGTATCCGTTACATATAAGGCGAGTTTTTTAATTCATCGATGGATCCATCGATGAATTAAAAAACCCGTCCATACTATAGTGGAACTAACCCAACCTAATCCAACTCTGAGTATTTCGGAACACTCTATTTATTTCATATAATAATAACAATAAAATAAAATATCAACACAATATCGATACATAATATCGATAGTAAAGCCCAAACATATCGATATTTGAAATATCGATACATCCCTATTTGAAGTATCGATCATCCCTAGTGTGATGTTAAATTTGCATGTGTGTAACTGTAACATCGCAGTTTGTAACGTCGACAAGCAATACAGTCTTGAATTTTCATTTTATTCTAAATGGCTACTAGCACTCAAAAGAAACCTTGTCGACGTTCATCTCGTCTAATGGCTAAGGATGAAGCTAAGAAGCAAATTTGTGTGAAACCGCAGGAAATCCACCTAACCTACGACGTTCTGAGAATTATCTTTCAGCATTTAAGCTATAGAGATTTAATAAATGTCTCACAGGTTTCCAGGTATAACATGTTACGAATCCACCGATTATTTATGCTCGATTTGATTCTAAATTCGATGATCTACATATTTAATTTATCTATATCTAAAACAGTTCTTGATTATATATTCAGCGAATGCAACAGTCAAACAACCAGTTTTTGGAAAATACATCTGTTTTGATAGATTGTTACATGCCATACAATGGTTGTTTTTTTTTTTAATGTGTATAAGAGTAAAAAGATCGTGTAGGATTCTTAACATTTGAAGATATTGTTTACAAATAAATTGTAAATATTCTTTTGGAATGTCTTATATGATAATAGTAATTAGAGCTTAAGTATTGGTTATTAGTACTTGTAATGTTATTGTCTACTATATTGAAAATAAAAGACGCATAAGTTCAGTGAATACAATATGAAGTTTAGTATGCAATTATTTTCAACAGGTTTTGGTCAGAGGCAGCTTATTTAGAAATGCAAAAAAGAAACGAACCTATTGGCTTTATGGAACATTGTAAAACATTAAGAGAAAGTCTGGAACCTTTTTTAGAAAAAGTCTTGGACATAAGGATCCAACCATATATTTCATTCTTTTTTGTATGTAGTGATACAATCTATCAGCATATGAAGCAGCCATTAGTAGGTATATATATTTTCCTTAATAATATAATAAATATATATATATATATATATATATATATATATATATATATATATACACAAATTTTGGGCTATATTGTGAAGATAGACAACAACAGACTAAAGTTTTGCTTAAAAAATAACATGAAAAATTGTCATTTTATAAATATCTTTAGTTTGTACATATTGAAATGAATTGTAATGTTTATCTTTATTTCTATTTAATTAAATGAGATTATTAAAGCCAATCTTTTATTTCTTTTTAAGCAAATACCTTTCGAGAAACTCAAAAGAATTCAATCATAATGTTACATAGTGAAGGCGTTATTGCAGAAAATTTAGAAATAGAAGGTAAATCCAAACATGTAGTATGTGCATTTTTACCGAAGATCTCAAATGTAAGCATCATGACATTTCATGTAACAAAGTTAAACAGTGCGTTTAAAGAAGGGGAGGCAGAATTTATTAGGGCACTACAACAATTGCCGCCGCCAGATGAAAAGATATCTACATGTCTTATACTATTTTGCAACAGTATTGACAATTATCATTTAGTATCTTTGCTGAACAGCATAAACAGGTGATTCTGACTTAAAGTTCAAATAATACATATATAAAATAGTGCATAATAATAGTGCATAATAATGACAGTCAACTTATTTAATACGTGTTTATTTTATGCTCAGTTGTTCAGGTAAAATATCTTCACTGTGGGGTGGTTTAGTAAGAAATTGTTACATATATGAGAAAACTAGACCTGCTCTTAAATCCTTGGATTGTCTCGCTATTCTGATCACCGGCCACATGAAGACATGGTCCACAATCCTGGACAGGAAATGCAATACAAAGCAGAAAGTCGAAGAACACTTAAAATTGTGGAAGCAACATTTGCAATTAAGAAAATATAGCATTGGATATATGTTTGCGTGTCACGCGCGCGGCACATGTTGGTATCGCAAACAAAACGTGGAATCGTCGATATTTAAAAGTTTATTTCCCGATTTACATTTGGTGGGTTGCTTTGGCTACGGCGAGTTTGGCAAGTATACGGGGATGACTAAAGTTCGTAAGTATAATGCCTCATATCTTCTTATAAACTCTCTTATATCTCTGGAAAATTTCAGTACGATTCTTTTTTCGTTTCAGATCAAACAAAAGACATTAACAAACTCTGTTATACCCAATATTCTACTATATTTATGATACTTACATACGATTGATGATTTAAGAGATGTCATATATGTAACTGGCAATACTTTATCATCGGGATTTTGCTAAATTTACCTGGATTTTATATCTGATATGGTGTTCGTTATCAGATTTCCCAATCTCTTCTTTGTGACGTACGCCAATATGTGGCGTTAATATTCAAGAAATAATAACAACAATAAGTACAACAAACATAAACCTGATTATGAAGATAACATGTGAAATTCTCAAGTACACTGTACATTATTTTTGTGTATGTACATGGACTCGACATGAATATTGCGGCAATGCTACTGAAAGACTAAGAAGACAAACAAGATAATGTTATAAGATAATATGCGATAATATATTATATGTTCATATTGTGTGTGTGCTTTTTCTGCTGTTCGCGTTTTCCATTGTTTCCTTAATATGTGCAGTTCAAAATCCAGAGCTGTCTAATTGCTCGTTCGCGAGTGATCACTTCATTCTATATTCAGTTGCTTAGTGTAAAAAAGAAAAGACACAGAACTAGATTTGTCACTCGCAGCTCTATTCTAAACAATGCGAATTATATCGAGTACTGCAATCACTCGACAAGAGTATGCAAATAATTTCAGATACCGAGTTACTTTGCTGCATTTGTAATATTATCAGTTAGCCAGCCAGTTTAGCGTCATGATTTAGAGCTGGTTGTTAGATGTGATATGCGTGTACGGGGTCAGGCGCCCCTCGATTCGGTATAAAGCATGCACACCCTACTGAATGTAATTACAATTCTTGGAGCTGTTTAACAGTACTTCCGCGCTCACGATACCATGTGCAAGATAAAACAAGAAAAACTGGGCCAGAAGTGAGGGCAACGGCGTCTTATCGTGATACTCTCAGGATTTAAGAAGGAGTCTCCTGCACCTCGCAACATAAGTAATTAATTATAGCACGATCATTGTTGACGGGGCTTACACACCAGAAATTCGTATGAGGTTTGCGACTTCGAAGATGCTACCGTGTTTACCGTGGAGACGAATCGTCATCCTTGTTGCACTGTGGCGAGCAGCGTACTCGGAACGATGGGAGAGCGGTTTGCGGAAGAGATACGACGGCTACGGAGAAGACTGGATGTTCATGCCGGACGGTAACGGGCAGCCTCAAGTAGCGGTACTGAAGGTCCAAGACAGCGAGACGAGAGGCATATTGGACGGCTCGGAGATAGTCTACATGATTTACACCCGGTATCTCTAATTACAAGTCGCGATACATTTAACAATCCGTCGCGCCACATCGTTCATTAGTCGTGCGTTCTCTCGGTCTAGCTTTCTGCAATCTCTTTTCAAGATCCGGCCCGAAAGAAGGCACGCGAATGACCCTAAATGACACCGTGAATCTCGCCAGTTCTGACTTCAAGCCATCACGCAAGACGAAGTTCATAACGCACGGCTGGAAGTCGAGCGCCACGAGCGCCGGTCCTGTGAAGTTGAAAGAAGGTACGGTAACTTCTGTTCTCAAATAAGGTACTAGGTAGACATTTAACGCATCGATGAAACGCAGCTTGGATAATTTGTATCTTTCGGAGCGCACAGCTTTTCTCACTCACGGCGACTACAATGTTATCATCGTGGACTGGGAACCGTTGGCCGCGAGTACCTTCTACCTAGGTCCGATGCACAACACCGTGAGAGTCGGAGCCGACGCCGCTAACTTTATCGACTTCTTGGTGAAGGAGACCGGGTTGAAGACGAAAGACGTTCATTTTATCGGTATAACATGTGATCTCTCTCGTATAGGGCGACTATCCATATTTTCGTCATTTTTTCGTCACTTTGACTGCATCTAAGGTCATTCCCTCGGGGCGCATGTCGCCGGGAACGCTGGCAGTGCGACGACTTCCGGAAAGTTGAGCCGGGTGACGGGTTTAGATCCAGCGTTACCGGGATTCCATGTGTTCGCCTCCGAAAAAACTCGACTAGATCCTACCGACGCAGTATTCGTTGACGTCATACACTCTTGCGGGGGTGTATTGGGCTTTCTTCAACCGTTGGGGAAAATTGACTTCTATCCGAACGCTGGTACAGCGATTCAGCCGGGATGTTGCTGCGTTCCCGAAATGATGGGTAAGATGTTCCTGTTGGCTGAAATTTTGTTCGCAAGTACTCGCAAACGCGAATATCTTCTGATTTTTTTCCTGAAATTTCAGAGGCCTGCAGCCACGGACGATCGTACGTCTATTTCACGGAGAGCATCAATTCGAAGACGGGATTGTCGGCTACGAAATGCGACAGCTGGGACTCATACATGAGCGGCAAATGCGCCGATTCACAAGTGGTGCTTATGGGAGAGCACGTTGATCAAACGGCCAGTGGCTTATTCTTCCTGAGAACTAGGTCAAGTGCACCGTACGCATACACATCGGAAATTGTCGACAATAAAATTTGAATAACAGTTCTCCTGCCGAATATCAAGTCATGCGCCCGCGTGTGACGTAAGCTGTTCGTGGTAACTCGCGATTCCCTGTCAATCAATTTGTCAACCGCAGAAAAAACGGCGAATATAAAATGTCTGACTTTAATAAATAGTAATTACATTATTTTACATATGACTGAGGCATAATAAATGTAGCGACAGAAAGGACATCACTAGATGTTAATTCTCTACCCTGTCTCTCTCCAAAGCTCGGAAAGTTTCCAGCCACGACATCACGTCACTCTGGCACCCGGGCGTTAATACGTGATAACTAGGAAACGACCAGCACCAACGAATATGTATACGGGAATGACTTAATGCTTAAATCGGCTTGTAAAGCAAAGTAGTGACGTATTTTTTGCGATAACGATGCGTGGCTGATAAGACCATCACGCTGTCTTTGATACTCAAGGCATAAAGGTGGTTCAACATGACGTGATTTGGCTCAGGTAGAAGAGTGGGTTCACACTGAAAAGATAGCAAGCGATGACATTTTCGTTAATGTAAGTACCAAAGTAGAGGAAAACGTCCAGCATTCTTACTCGGATTTTGTTCAATATATCAAAATATATGGGTATTTATTATTTATTTATTACTTGTCGAAAGACTATTTATTACCTATTTACTCGTTTTTCTTGAAATTGCTTAATATTTTATAATATAATTGTTTAATATTTTATAATTTTATAAAATTTTATACTATTGGACGTTTTCCTTTCTTTCTTTTTTCCATTTTTTTCTTCTTGCATCTAACTTACGGATAGCGGTGTGTCCTTATTAAGAATAACTTGCAGCAAATGTGGCGGCAAGATAGGCGGACCAGGCACCTTCTCCCAAGGCTTATGCGGTGGTATATCTTGTCCATATTCTGTTTGAGCACTACTAGTGACACCCTCGCTGTCTTTTGCGAGAGCTTGAAATACCTCAAAGTCAGATTTTCTTACTGACACTAAGTTGTTTTTGGAACCCATGCCATTGTCCACAATTTTCTATATCGCATCAACAAATTTATGCTTTATATGCTGTGCATCAATGTGGATAATACACATACACACACATGTATGGCAAATTGCTGTAAATTTATACAATTTATTCTTACCAGCCCAGGATCGTGTCTCCATTCTCCATCAACAAAAAACTTATACTGATGCTCTCCTTCTGGCAAGTCAATAATTGTCACAAAATCTCCATGACTTTTCACCATTGGCAATGTCTTCCATCCAGTAAATGTACCACTAATATATACTTGCTTTCCACCTCCTTCCCATTTGAAAACAGTTGGTAGCACTTTACTATCAGCAACTTTTGTTCCTTCAGAAACAGTATTAGATCTTGGTCGCTGTGATCCAAAATCTTCTCCATCTTGTTGGCCAGTCTATTTTAAATTTATAAGAGATCCTGATATAGAGCATTTATATACATATGCAAATGTTATTTTAATATATCTTGATGTTACCTTTGCAAAGTATGGCTCTTCTTCCTCGTGGGAAGACTGAAAGACAAGTTTCTGGCTGGGTTTCTTATCAAAGATAAATACTTGTCCTTCTTTTCCTGGAGAAGATGGTGGATGTTCTTTGTTGTGTCGATGCTCTCTGCTTGCTGTATTGCCATGATGGTGGCTGACTGGTTGGTTACTTCCCGCATTACCCATTATTACAAGAAAAACCTTAACAACAACGTCTGTTTATTCGTCTTATCTAAACAATCTCAGTGTAATATCATAATGTCAATATGCGCAGCATTAAAAATCAGGTATTGATAACTTATAGGTTATTTGATAATAAAAAATGTCACTGAAGAAAGATAATTGTATTGAAAAGAGCATGCAGAAAATTAGAAACTCGAATATTGGTAATGTAAATAATTGACACTACGTGCAACGATATATAATAGGTCATAACCAATAATGTTAGCAAGTGGTTTTCGCGAGTACGTTACTCACTTGTTTGCACACCCTTTGCTGTATGCGTCAATGTCAAGTCGAAAACGTAAACATCCGCTGCCGAGCCGGATTAATCGATTTGATTAAAGTATGTGACGACACACAATCCTATTCTTGCGAATGTTTAAAACATTGCAATGCCCGTTCGCCAAATGACGAATAAAACATTTTGATTGTACTGCACAGTGCATTCAGTGTCAGATTTTTTGCCAGTATAAAACAGTTGCTGTGTATCGACAGTAGGACATCGTAGAAATTTATGTTATCAAGGGTGGAAAATACTCTGCTTATCAATATTGGTAAATCTGCTTATCAATATTGGTACAGTCGATGGACCACGGAGATTTTCGGTAATAACAATTTAAGGCAATTTAAGGCTTCGTATTCGGACTGTTTTACAAGTCTGCTTGATCGATTGCTATATTTTATGGATACACTTTTTTATTTTAATGTATTGCGCCAGTATTTTTAGCGTGTATTTTCTCGCTTCTGACGTAAGTCAAATAATAATTCCGCGGCAAGTTACTGGGAGCAGCCAAATAATGATACATAATTGATTGTAAAATTGCCCGACTCTTATAATTATATTAATTTAAAATGCGTTGTAAGTGGGAATTAAGATATAATTGCAGATGTTGGTAACTATGATACTTTAATTAGGTATGTGTAACAGATATAACATATATGTATATATCACTGTATATAATTATGTCTAATTATTATGCACGAATTTCAAATTGCGCGCTGCTATAAGACAGTTTTACGCCGTTTAGCAACCACGATCGTTGCTTCGCGTTCGCTCCGTGATTTTTCCGGTTCACATGTCGACGAGAATGAATCTGACGTCCGGACAAGTGTCGGAAATGCTGAGCAAAGTGTCGCGCGATTGTCGTGTCGTGTTAATTCCGGTAATTATAGCCATATTTTGTTAATAATTATGTCGATTTTACTCTATCAGGGCGAATTTTTCGAGCGAAAGATGTGTTACGGCGGCGCATGCGCAGCCTATGTTTTCAGTTTTGGCCCAGGCCCCGAGTCGTGCGGACGATCGGAGGTGCTCCCGCGATTCTCGTATTTTTTACCCGTCAAAAGTGCGTGATGCGTTCGTACAAGTTCCGCGAATTGCGCAGAAAGTAGCGGGCAATCGTCGGCTGGCTGAAATTCGCCTGTCCGATCGCAGGTATAGTCATGCCGCGCCGATACTTGGCTCGCTCGTCCGTTTGTTAGCGCGAGCCATACCTCGTTCAAGTCGGAACATGTCGATGATGTCGTGGTCAAAGTACGAAGTGATCGTGTGTTTCTCGCGTTGTTCACTCGTCACAAGTGCATACACGCGCGTCCGAATGAATCCGCGAGTGTTGAAACATGCTGAGCGATCATCAGGTGGTTATGATTCGCTAGTGTGCATAATGGATACCACTAGATGCAGTGAGATTAGAGGAGCGACAGGACGTCAAAGACTGCACGACGGCTCCGGTGAGTCAACTGATTCTATGCATTGTTAATTGATTATTGATAATATGACGAAATCGGGGGCGAGATACGCCCAGAGTTCCTGCGATTCGGTTGCGCGGGAACACGGACGTTCGAAGATTCAAAGCGCTTGAGATACGGCTAGCTGTTTGCTTTCCGCGCCGATGGATGGCAGCACTAGTCCGAACTTCGACCACGTCCTACTACCTGTCGTAAAAATCAGAGAGCGCTAGCGTAGCTTATCCGAGACACGCTCTCATACATAAGTCGTTTTAAAAAATTATCGTTTGTACCTTCTTGTTTTCTATAAATAACTCGTGCGAGCTGAACTGTAAAACAAGCTCTTTTCCACTTTAAAAATCATGTTGAAACGCTTTGTGACGACAGTAGAAATGCTGTTTGTTGCAAATTAAAGTACTGATATACATATCGAGGCCGTCAGATTCTTTCTTCGTTGTGTATATTCTCACTCCCTTCTCACTTCTCTGCCCCAACTGCACGCTCAATTTCATCTTCCCTTTTCCTTCGTATGTTTCTCGGCCGTCAACTTTTTCGCCGTTTCCTACGCGAATTTATTATTTATAAAGGCGAAAGAACCTCGGGCGTGTTTCGTCCTTCGCAGTCGGTGGCTACGCAACTGAGGAAGAGAGAGAAAGAGAGGGAGAGACAGAGAGAGAGAGAGAGAGAGAGAAAGAGAGAGAGAGAGAGAGAGAGAGAGAGGGCTCATATCGAGGCACGTATTGCTCCTCGTGGCCGCGGTTGATTCAGAGGGGTGGACCGCGAGTAAAAACGTGCCCCGTGTATTAAATATCCTGCAATAATAGTAATTATGGTTACGGCATTTTGCGAAATTGCGCGGCTACTTCACCGCGGCCTATGCCTGTGGTCGCGCCGAACGCACGTGATCTTCATGGGCGGCAAATGTACGTACCAGTGCGGGCAGCATTACCGATTCCGAAAAGAATCGACCATTCAATTTTTGTGCGTCAAATAAGCATGTCTCCTGCTTGTTCGTTTACCTTTTTCTTCCCGGCGTGCGATCACGATCGCGTGGAAAACTCGTCATATGTGGAAAATGCTTAGCGCTGTTGCTTTGCTTTAATATTTATAAAGGATTTAATACATTATTGTGTATGCACGGTATTATATAGGATGAGTCAGTAACTTTTGCTACCTGGAATATCTTTGAAGCAACAAACAAAGTTGAGATCTTCGAAGTTACTCAAAAAAAAAGCATTACCATAAGATGCTTTTCTTCTTTTTTAAATAGAGTAATTTCAGAAGTCTTTGAAGATCAGTTTTGTTTTTTGCTTCGAAAATATTCTAGACAACAACGGTCACTGACTCATCTTGTACATATAGTGAGAAAACAGTACTGGAAAATAATACTGCTTTACGTGAGAAAAATATGCGCACGAGATCTGCGCTTGATACATATATGTGTGTTGAGAGAAAAGGAGAGAGAGATTGTCTTTTTTTGGAGTCATAATTACACGCATCAATCTCTATTATAATTACGACTAAAATTTGAACCAAAAAAAGTTCCCAAACGATACAAAAAAATTATATTATAATAAGAATATAAGAAGAACGTAAAAAATATAAATAAGAATATAAATAAGAATGTAAAAAGATGATATTATGGCGTCTATACTTTTTTTATGCATTTTATCTATGTAACTTAGTTGTAAAATGTTTGATCCCGTTGACAAAATGGTGGATGGATGCTTTTCATCATCGCAGTGGTGATAAAATGCTGACGTTACACTTGTCGAGATAGCATGGATTTCATTTACGCAGCATGCTATCTATATTGATTATTAAATGTATTCTTTATTTAATGATATTGATTAGATTAGTGTAAAAGGCTGGGATTATATCTAAAGTGGGGACATCTGCTCGCGGTCTCTGCTGTTTCATTACGTTCCATACGTTTAACGCGGTTCATTTTTATCTCGATTCTCGATGAACAGATGTATTTGCATTTCGCGGAGAGAACTCGACAATATCGCCTGATGTGCCAAAAACGCGGCGGTACTTCCGAGTACGATGCTCTCGATCAATTGTCGGAAAACGTTTGTTCCCGAGAACGATTCGCGGAATACAAGTTTAAACGCGCGGCATCTCCGCATGCCAAAGTGACAAAAGATTACGGGCGCGAAATTTTAACTCTAATTAATCGCTAATCGACTGACCTCGCCGTTGTATCGAGCGACGAAGGAGCGAATTCGTGAAGGAGTGAATTCGTAACGGGCCCGAAAGTCGTCCGTCCGAGCCAGATGTCGGGTGCCCGAGATGGGAAAAAAAAAGTATCAAAGCGTATTCAAAGAGGGGGAAAAAAAGTGAGGACCAAGAAAGAGGGTGGCGGATGGGGGAGGGCGGGAAGACCGGCGAGAGGCGGTGTGTGCATGCGCTTAATCGATAATCACCGGCAAGTGGTTTCGTCCGAAAAGGGTGCGGTGGATACATCTGCGAGGTATCATCAGCGCCGCGTACAAAAGGCCGATCCATCATCGGCCGACAATCCAAATTCAAAATTGGCCGGCCAGTTCCCAGCGAGCGGAGCGCGTGCTATTACAATGGAGATTAAGAACAATCCAAACAATCTCCGCGTCCTGGCGAGGTAACGTGTCAGTTGGAAGATACGAGAACGGCTCGGGACGAAAGATATCGTCGTCGTCGTCGTCGTCGTCTTCGTCGTCGTCATCGTTGTGGTTGTGGTTCTCTTCGGTTTCTAATTCGCGAACGGATCGTTGACGAGCCCTTTGCGCGCGCGTGATATTGTAAGGGATATTATTATAATGTCTGGCATGCAACACACACACACACACACACACACACACACACACATACGGGTGACGGTCGTGTCGTAATATCGCCGTTGCTGTACGGTGGTGCACGCGATTTTCTTCGCTTGTGCGTTGCTTGCTGAAATATCAATGTAAGCTGCTCATTGAGCACGCGGTATGTCAGATTGTTCGCTCCCGATAGAAGAGTAGCCTTCGCGATCCGCGCCTAATAATAGGTGCAGTGTCAGCACCGCGTTTCAACGTCTCGTTAAACTTTCGGATTAATAAGAGATTGAGGGTTGCTTTTTTGTCCCTCCCCTTTTCTTCCTCTTTCTCTCTCTCACTCTCTCTGCACTTTGCTACAGCGAGGTAATTGCGAATGATTCGCAGATGAATGAAATTTAATCGTGGTTATTATAATTCAATCAACCGCAAATGACAACGAGGCAGTCCAAGTTGAAATTATAGCCCTACTTGGCATCTGAACTTTTTAATATCTGTATATTATGAAGGGGCGGTATATGTATAATATGTGTGCAAATTGTAAAATCTTATTTAGTGCCTTTGGCAGAAAACGTACAAAATGCCACTTCCAGAGTAAGAATGTAAGTTCCAAAGAAGAGTTTTTAACAAAGCTAATAGGTTAAACAGAATCAAAAGAGATCGATATAGACTTTAGAGTATCAAATCAAGCGTTAAGTGGGATATTAAAGTCGAAAGTAGGATTAAGATTTCGACTCGAAAGGCGACCGCGTGAAAAACTGTCGGGATACACACATAGTTTCTTGATTGAGAGCGCCCGCATTATTGCGCAACGGCGCGTAAAATATGCAATAGTAATTAACACTGGCTGTGTGTATGTATATGTACCGGATCTTGTTCTTGTTCTCCTCGGAAATCCGGAATGCGGCGTGGATATAATCGTGAGAATAGAAGTAATCTGAACCTCTT